AAAAAATCAGGACTCTTGCCCCTAACTCCCCATGATTGCGATTATTACAATTAATATATAGTTCAGCATCCTGTATAGCAATGATTTCAGACTAACCAATAAGATCCCCTTTTATGTGGCTTGGGAATATATTTCCCGTAAACTAATTAGCATAATTATGACATTATTTGTTATGGCAAGACATTGAAAATGGTTTAAGTTTGAGAATAAATAATGGCAATTTAGTCTGTTTCTCCTTAGTCAGTTTTCCTTCTATATATACAAAAAAAGAAAAAGTAAGTTTCAATGTAAATAATTATGATATTCTTTATTTCCTACTGTAACTAGACACTTGGAGGACAATTACTAGAAATTATCTTCATCGCGGACTGTAGATCCTCGTCGGTCAGACGAGTTATTTGTTATTAATTTTCAACTGTGAAAGAAAAGCTGTTCATATAGAAATGTCTTACCAAACAAAGTTATTATTTTTAGTGCAATGCGCAATTATCCACTATGGAAGCTCACTAAGAGAAGGTTTGGGTTTATGTTAGAAAGGTTTTTAGTTCTCAAAATTTGGGTTCAAGTTCCGAATTAGTTGCGTAGTTACGTTATTAGCGTTAGGCAAGCCATGTAACGTAAACCGATCTGGAAATGAAGCAGTCCAGAAAAGTTATTACTATCTCTAAAATACAGAGGGAATACACAAATCAAAAATGAGAAATTAAGATGCTATTGCTGAATTAAATTATAAAGCTAATTTACATATTTTTATATTATGTATATATGAATAAATTTAACAAAAATACCGACAAAATGATATAATAAAAAATATATGAATTTATTAAAAGTATAAATAAAATAATAATTTAATAAAAATATTGAAGAACATTTTATATGTTAATTTAATAAATAACAAAAATATCGGTTAAATAACCGATGGTCAGTTAAATAACTCCTATTGAATTCACCTTCGAACAAACTGTACTCTGTTTTACCGATTCATTCAAATTCTATAATTATTTTAAATTTTTACGGATTTTCGGCCTATTTCGTAAAAATATTTTAATTAAAAAAATTCAGAAAATAAAATTAATTAATTAATTAATTAATTAATTAAAAAAACTCACAACGTTACCTTGTTTAATGAGGCACATAAAATACCAAACGAATACTAATGTACACAAACGAGTACACAGTTATCTCGCTGGTTATCGCGCTGATGATACAGATCGATCATTCTGAAGATTACGGTTCAACATTTGTACGAGCCAAAGGGTTTACAATAGCAACAACACTACACCGAAACAGGGGACAATCAATATCGCAACATCATCAAAGATAAAAAGAGAAATTGATTTTCAACTTCGTGTTCATCTAGAAATGAACAAATATACTTATATATATATATATGCTTTACACTTTCCTGGTGTATTGTATAATTCACACTGTTATGGACTGTGAGTATGAAATTTCCAAGCAATCATTGTATCTAATTACAAAAATTTTATTATAACTCATGGCATTTCATTGAAAATAGAATTTTGTCATCGATTTTTTTTTTATTTACTTCCTGATAAGCTATCGAGTTTCAAAATTTTGTAGACACAGTGTTTCTCGATGACAATGCAGCGTGGTGAAGCGATCTTTTCAAAATTTTAATTTATATATTTTTCTTTTTATTTATTTAATGTTTAAACGTTTTTCCGCACATATCTTCGCTTAAAGAACAAACTAAATATATTAAAATTTTACTGTTTACGTCATCAAATAGACCCAAAAAAAGTACTTTCAATGAAACCTATGTGAAAATTCTAATTTAATTTCTGATCCATGGTGAATTTTTGAAAATCGCTCAATTTTTTAAATTATTAGTTGTTTATAAGTTTACAATTTCAAGGTATCCGGTAAAAAGTTTTGACATCTTCAGAGTTTGATAAAATAAACTTCGCGATTTTCTACATAAAAAAAGAAAAAAAAAAAGAAAAGAAAAAGAAAAAAGTTGTGGTCTGAAGCAGACAAAAGAAAAAAGGGGTTTTGAGTATATCATCTTCGCGCACTTAATGATGACTTACTGCTGTTCGCTTTTTCATTATGACACCTAGTTTCTGAAATTGAACATTCAAAGCTATTTCTTCATTCTCTGAACGACGTTTAGTTATTTTTATTTCATAATTTTATTGTAATTTCTTTTCTTGTGTTCTAATGATGACTAAAAATTTTAACGTTGCAACGTGTGATTGAGACTAAAAATAAGAAAAAATACAATTAAAGAAAAGGTTTTTATATAATAAGCTCTTTTATTTAAAATGAATATGATAATTAATGGGCTAAAAGAAGAAAAATAATTTATCATAGAGTTTAATGGGAATAAATAATACATCAAATAACTCAGTTAACAAAATTCTTCTACAATTTTATATCCTGAATAATGAAAGCGTGCGACGCCTAAACAAAGAAATCTATTAATTCAATTGCATTGCCAAACGTATAAACGTAACATTTTCTTTTTATTACCATGGGCGCTCCAAGCTTTTCTTAATCGCGATATAACACTGCAGATGAATTCTGCCAACAGAATTATTTAATCTATTATTCCCATATTATAAATTATTTTCCTCGTTTTACAGCATTTATTATCATATCCATTTTAAATAAAGGCTTTTTTGTATGAAACACCCCTTTTCCCCCCTAATTTTATCTTATTTTATTTTATTAACACACTGAGGTGCTTTTCTAAATGATGTTTTTGTTTTCAATAAGTGATAAAAATCCTACCGCAAAAATTCTAGCCATTCTTGTGTACATTATCGTCTGCATACAATATTAAATTGAATATTGACAATAAAATTTTGTATTAACGTACAGATTGTAAATCTCCCTCTACACTTTTTTTAAAGTTTTATTGAAAATGTAATCCAGTATTTTTAACATTTTGATATTTTACGTTCGAAATATAAATGCAGAAATAAAAACAGGAACTTTCAAATTTGAAATTACTTTTGAATTGAGTCTTAATTTTGACAAAAGATAACAATTATTAAAACGTGCTGCTAATAATTCAGAAACATGATAGCTCATTATTTTAAGTGATTATTTAGCAGTGCAGTTGTTTCGAAGGTAAATGAAAGCATTTTCTTGAAATATGGTTGGCAACAATGTCTATTTAATGTGGCGAGCGATTTCTATCGAAACTGAAAAATAATAAACTTCTCTGGTAAGTATTTAAAAAAATTCGATTACATTAGGCTGATACTAAAAATAGATTTTTGTTTATTTAGGCTCTTCCTAAAAAAATATTTAACTTAAAATTATCAGAACTTTTTTTATGAAGTAAGAAAGAATGATAAAAAATAAAACGCTACATCAAAGACCCATGAATTATCATTAACTATATGGCGTTTGTTATGTATCTTCTAAATAATAATAATAAATAATAGTTATTTAATAATGATTTGACATTAGTAAATGACAACAAATGTGCTAAAAACGTAACTCGTTTCGAATGAAATCGATGGAAAGATACAAAATCATAACTCAAATGATAATAAATTTGGCCTAAGCGGCTAGGAAGCGAAACCTTCTTAATTTACATGCTAACAGAAAATGACCATATATAAAACATTACATAAATGTGATTTTCTTTACACAATGCTTACCGTAATTTTCATTTATAAAGGCGTACATTTAGCAGATTTTTTATGTTAGATTTTGAAAGATTCTACATGAAAAAAAAGGGTGAAGATTTGAGTTTTTAATCCTGAATCCTTTTTAGGATTCGTAGGATTCAAATATCTATCCCTAATTGGTATAATACCCAAAGCTTTAGCATTATAATGACTAAGTTTTTTAAAAAAAAAATCTTTATTATTAGTCTCAAAACACGATTTTGCATTGTTTCACTTTTCATTGGAGTCTGCTGCCATTCGCGAAAATGTAAGATATTATTCTTTCGTATTTAATCTGTCTCTTATCAATTAACAAACTAAATTTTTAAACCAATAGATGCCGCTCTTAAAAATACTTTTTTTTTCAACTTTTTAATCTGATTGATTGATACAAAAATTCATTTCATGATATATAGTTAATAAAAGACATTCAATATTTTTACAGAACTGCGTTGCATATTTTTCACTTTTTAAATATACAGAAGAAATGCAACGTTCCCATGTTAGTCTAAATTTCGCTCATCATATATCAAAATGTTTCGCTCTTCCACTTGAGTCATGCCTCTCAATAATCTCTACTCATAAGCCATAATAAACTTAAAAATTTCCCTTTTGGGCGATAGTTAAAATTGAAAACTTTCCGATTTCTTATATTAATTTTAATGTATTGAAAGTAATTTTTTTAAAAAATGTTTATCTTTCCTTTGCTTTGCAAAATATTACGGTTCTAAAAAATATGCTCGAAATTATAATTACAGAGACAGTGAACATAACTTAAATTCAGCGGGGGAAAACTCATTTTAGAAAATAGCAAAAAATACTATTTATTTATTTTATTAGATCGTCCTGGTCAGGAGAAGACTACCACTTATTTGGTCATAAAAGTTTTAGAAAGAAAAAATTTCGGCACTTTACTACACATCGAAGTGATTGAGACAGCAACTTTTCTGGCGCATACAGCTACTAAAATTGACTTGGCTTGATTATACGTTGAATGGAGTATCAGAAGCGAAGGTCCCTTTGCCCTGTATGAGAGCTATTTTTTAATCCATTTGAACTCAGTTACATTTAGCTTATTTTCAACCAATCAACTATTAGCAAGGTCCAAAAGACGATATTCGTGCAGCTAAAACCGATAATTCCAGTAGCAGATCCTAGAGATTACTTATTTCTTATATCTAAAAAAGAACTGAGAGAATATTATTGATTGTTTCAAAATATCTTCCTATGTGATAAGGCATAAAAGCCAAAAAAACACTTACAAGAATACAATGTCATGTTTCAACAATACGAGATAAACACATTTACATTCTGAAGACTGTCTCTGAAGTATCATTGATAATTCGTCATGTACTAATGAGAAATAATGAGACTGAATGAAAAGTACTTACCGATCATGAGCAGGGACACGGTGAGATGTTCTCTTCCTGTAGCTTTCAGGGCACCCAGTACAGTGCCGACTATGGCACAGCAAAGGCCCACAAAGGCTATCATCACAATGAACCACCGTATGCTCACAGTTTGTGTCACCATCACACCACAACAGTGCTTCGGTTCGTCCGATTCGGAGGCTGCTGGCGCCCCTGCAAAGCTGGGGCCGCCCCTCCGCCCCCCACTACGCTCTCTCGGGTGGAACCCCCTGAAAGCCCCGCCGCGACCGCCGCCTCCCCTGGACGTCCTGCGAGGGTTGGCGGTCAAGTGGGGGCATGCCGGGGCGGTCGTCGGGGGAGGTGGTGGTGGTGGATGAGACGGAGGGGGCAGTCGTCGACTCCCTCCTCCCCTTTCCACCGTCACTGGGGGAAGAGTGGAATAAGGCGGGGGAAGATGGGAGTTTAAGATGTCTGGTAGCGTGTTGTTGTTGTTGATGTTAGTATCCGAAGACGGTGTATCCAGTGGTGGTGGTGGTGCAAAGGTATCCGGCGTCAGCTGAGTGTGGGTCGTGAGACGCCTCGTACTCCTGCAACTGTTGGACGAACGACGTGCATGTTCATGGGGGACAGATATCCCATCCCCCAGTCCTCCACCGAGGCTGGTCATGCTGCTGGACAAGTTTACGTCACCTATCTGTTTGTCGGACGATACGCCAGACTCGCACACATGGTCCAGCTTGTGGTGATGGGGAGAATCCGAAAGGGTTGGAGACTTCTTGCACAGATCAGTATCCGAGTAAAATATTCCAATGTTGTACACCTCCTTCGCGGCGACTTGCACTGCAGTCGCCGACGCACTACTCTCCTTGGAAGAAGTTTTGGTTCTTCCACCTGAGCTTAAGCGTGAAGTGTCCTGACCTACTTCTGGGCGATCCGGAAACTGGATATTCGAGCTGGGCACATCGGACGAGTTGGGGCCGCGGTTAGCATCACGGGGTAAAGGTGTACCCCAGTGGCGACCCTCGAACCAAAGACGACTCCGATAAATTCGATTTATCCGTGGATAACGACGAGGAATGCGAAAAGCATCCCCTCTCGAGAAATTGGAATCCTCGCACGAGGTACTACTACTAGTGGTTGTTGAAGGAACACAGTACAATAAACTCTGTCCGAATGAATCGGCGGTGCTTTGATCATGCGATCCTGTCCTTTCTTCGGCACTGACTGCTACTGCAACACGATTGTCAACAAAGCGAGTGTTATATTCTTCCGCGTCTCCGCAGTACCCTCCGTTCACAACTCCTCTACATCCGACGGACGACTGAGGAACTCGGCCAGGCGACGCACTCGACGTATGCGCCTCTCCTGCATCATTGGAAGAGATGACGGGCGATGGTAGCGCCATCTGTTGGAGACGGAAGGCATCAGTTGCTTCCTCGTCTCTCATCATTCCCGTCTCGGAGAACCTAAATAGTGCGTAAAAAGAAATAAATACATTATCACATGAGTAGTTCACATTTCCCCCCCAAGCTACTTAAGTATAAAAATAACAAACACATCAACCCCCCCGTTCTGTTGCCATCGAGGAGGAAAAGAATGGACTGTCTAAAAATAAGTTTTGTAACGAAAATAATTTTTTATTTTGTGTTTTCTCGTGTAGTGAGAAAGGAAAACAGCAATACGTGTGCTGTGCATTTACCATCCAATAACAGAAGGAGAATAAATTTGATTGAATTAAAAAAAAATTAAAGTAAATGTAGTCGAATGAATTAAAAATTTGGAAAAATAAACAATTTGGGTAATTGATATGCATAAAGGTACCTACTTTATAAGGTGTTTATAGAAATTTCTCATAATTTGGAAAGTAGGACAGAGATACACGTTCGTGAACGAGAAAGAATACAGTTACAAGATGAAAAGTGACCTAATGCCCTCTAATAGGCATCATTTGGGGTCGTCACCTGCGAACGAAATGGAACATGAATTGTTTTTTGTGAGATGGTGTACCTCAAATGGAGCATCACTGATCGTCTGCACATTAATGAATTAATTTCCATTAAATATTTCGGAATGAATTTCATATTCAATCGGGCAGAGAATAACAATGGAGGGGGGATGTAAGGAAATCTTAGCCAAACAAGAAGCAAAAGATAATTCGTGAACACAGATTAGGTGTTAGAAAAAAAATTTTATTAAATATATTACAGGTGTCAGGAATGTATGCTATAAATAAAATAAAATATATTTATTACTAAAAACGAAATGTACGTGTATTGTTAATAAAGTTCTGAATTTTTGGAATTGATTGTAATGTACTGTTGCTATCTGAAAGTTAATTTAAAAAATTTGCCACAGGACGCGAAAGCTTCCAGGATAGGCCCTCTGCTACGAATCAGTGATGTTATAGCAGTGAAACGTAAAAGTAACATGAGGTAAAAAGACTGGAAGAATAGTCCACATAAACATTTTTTTTTCGTACCAATCTAAAGTTTTTTTCGGGGGGGGGGCAACTTTAGAATAAAGTTTTGAAAAACCAAAACATCTAAAACTTTTCTAGAAAATGACGAAATTAATCGGAACCCTGAGAGGTTACAAAAGCAATCAGAAATTTTATTTATTTATTTATTTATTCGGCTCTCACCATAAAATCTTTAATTCTTCCTTGGAATTTTAACAACTCTTTGCTTACTAGCCTAACAGACTGAGAAATTTAATAGTAATAATAAACTTTCCAATAAATTGTAATTCCTGTTTTATTTTCTTAATCTTTTAAACTGCAGTAGTAAATTACTCATTGGAGGGGGGGAAATATGCTTCTTTGCAATATACAATACGCTTCTTTGTAACTTATGAAAATTATAGTAATATAATATTTATAAAAATTAATTATATATAACTCTTTATAAGACTTTGCCTGTAATGTACAGTTTTATGCAATCACTTGTAGCCTTCTACAGTCATTAATAAGATATTATATCATTTATAAACGCGTACATCATACCCTATACAATTATTTATAAGCATTTGCCTATAAAATGCAATGTTATACAACCACACATAAGCATATATTATAATCATTTATAACACTATATCCATTTATCAGACACTATAAATGCATACGTAATACAGATACATTAGAAATACATATTTTTAAGAATTTTTATAGATATAGATATGTAAATAATTTTAGTGAAGTTTAAACTGCAGTATGTTTTGTATAATGTAACACGAAGTCCTTGAAAAACGAAGCTGCTGGAAAATCCAGGGATCAAAAACCAGGTATCTAAATAAATAAATAAATAAATCATCTCTGTAAAAGGTTTTTTGAAAGAAGAAGAACAAAAAAGTGATGTGGCTGCACTTCATTAAAACTCATTTCCTCCAACTTAATTAACCGATTCCTCGCGACAAGTCGAAAAAGACATCAAAAACTGTAAATTTCGAAATTAAAATATCCCGGTCAATTTTTTGTCGTATGGGAGACAAAATACTGGTATTTTTATTATTCATACGAGTATTAAAACTTCCTCAAATGTAAGTATAGGAATGGGAGACCACATTCAGAGTAGGCTCCTGCAGCGCACCCCTGTTCTGGAGACTCCATTGTCAAAATTCTTATTAACATGAATGATGTTGAATTATTCTGCTTTGCAGATGATATTTTGGCTATTGTCTACGATGACTCTTTAGAGAAACTCGAAAAAATTTTTAAGAGTTTAGAGGAAAATTTTATGAACTGGAGTAGAGAAGAAAATATAGAGTTTAACAATGAAAAAATAAATGCCATTTACTTTCCTAGGGGTAGTAAGGCTACTAGAAAACCAAAGTTGAAATTTAATTTAGGCAGTATTAAATCACCGATTATACCTCATTAACTAAATATCTCATGAACGTAATTATCAGATATATCTTCGTTTTGAAGAATGCGGTGAAACTGAGTCGTAAAAAAACGCCAATGGAAAAATTAAAACATGTTTTAATGGATAAAAAACATGAGCAAGGTAAAACTATCGGGAATAATTATGGACGAAGCAGCAACGTTTAAGAAATTTCCGGATAAGCCAAAAATTCACCGATCCGAAGTGAAAATTTCGCATGCCGTTTTCTAGAAGACGAAGAATCGGAAATCGATTTTACAAAATGGGTTGATGTGCATACCATAGATCAATTCAAGCGCATTTACTTTCATAATGATAAAATATCGATCCCGGTGTATTCTTGTATACATCCCTTGATCTCATCTCCGAATTAGATCTAGCACGGAAGCACCTGTCATCTATGCAGTTATGTGACATCACAGACGATAATGATTATTGATATACGAACACGACAGTCGTTATCGATGGAGTAATAACAACATATCGGTAAGAAGTACGGAATAGGAAATCTTAAGAAAAAAGGGAAAATCGATAATAAATCGAACGAACGTTTCCAATAAGAAATAAAGACAAAATCGATAATGCCCACCGATAATAAACCCGTTCTTATTAAAAAAAAAAAAAAAAAAAAAAAAAAAAAAACTATTGTTATTTTTATAGCACGATTTACTACTAAAATACAAATGCAGTGGGTGAAACATACTGCACAGAAATGAATGTAATACTTTATAATATATGCAATATCGGTATATAAACGTTTTTCTGCTATTCAGATCAAAAACAATTTTTCAACATTCTTTAACATCTCTAATTTTGTTTGGTAATCATTTTCATCTCCTTCGCAGCATTAGCCAATTTAATAGTGTCTATAATAATATATAGTATTATATTAGTTTCTAAAATAATGTAAGAAATTAGAGTCTTTAACAGTAAGAGAAATTAAATCGGCTATGATATTTGATAGACGTTTAATTGAGATAATTATGGCATACAGTATGCATTATGTAATAGGCTAAACATTTGTAAGTTAAACACGTTGTAATAGCCTAGCTAAATTAGAGTTCCTTTATAAGCTAGGATATTGAAGAAATGTGTAGCGACTTTTCGCTGAGTGCTTGTTGTAGAGTCATTAAATTATTTCGAAACAAGAGCACATGAAAAACGAGCAATGCCGTCGTCGGGACTCGAACCTCGGAACTCTCGAATACGCGCCGAGTGTGCTGACCACTATACCACGAAGGCATGCTAAGAAGGCGGGAGAAATACTTTATATAATCCCCCTTTTAAGGGGCGACTGGGGATTCGGGGGTACCCAATCCCCAAATCCTGGTGGTGGAGAATCATCATCCACCACCTTTTTTAGTTCGGGCACCACTGTAGAGTCATTAGGTTATTTCCAAGCAAGAGTACATTAAAAATGAGTAATGCCCTCGCCGGGACTCAAACCACGGACTCGAATACGTGCCGAGTGTGCTGACCATTACACTAGGAAGAAGGCGGGAGAAATACTTTATATTATAAGTAACAAGTACAAAGAAAGGTTAAATTATTTTTTATTCCAACTCAAAATAGATGAACAGATGGCCCCTTCTCGAGCGTACAATAAGTTTCTACTTGAGCTTTAACTCAAGCTAGAAAATATGAAACTAATCTAATGCTAAATAAAAGTAACGAGACGAAGCTGCATAAAATCAGATAACGGAGTTGGTTCTTATTTAAAGATCACCGGCGCATACTAACAGGCATGTAGCAGTGCTACCTTAGGACAGTAAGCTTAGACTAGCAGCAACAACGTGGCCGAAAGGCAGAACAACCCCTCCAACTGAAGTGACCCAGACTTCTGCTTAAATACACGTTTCTACCTCATTTGCATAAAACATAATCCTGTAAACTTTTTCTGGCAGAGAAACGTAGCTGTAAATTTAGAATGTATTGGAAAGACTTACTACCCCCCAAAAAAAATTATTAGAAAAATAAAGGGAACCCTACAACATGATCCCGGATCCGTAAGCCATCTTCATAATTTTCAACAATTTCTTTCTTCACGTCCATGGTGATCCTAACAATTTTTTTCGTGGTCCAAACAGGACGCATTTCGAAGTAGAGGCACATCCAAATGTCAATGTACAATTTTTTTTCAGTCGTGTGTAATGGAATATTAAATAGCATGATTTGAACTTCGAATGCTGCATGCCATTTTGAAACATTGTAGTCAGTATTTATGTTAAATAAACAAAAAAGGGATTTGAAATCTGAAAGAGTTTATTTTTAAATAAATAACTGAAATTATAAAATACAGTCATTTAAAATATTTCGTTCATGTTATTATTGAAATGTCTTTGACATATAATTATTTAATAGTCTTGCTTGTATAAATTCCTTTCTAAGAATTGGCAACAACAAATACTATCTTTTATTTAGGAAGACGGGCATAAATTTTAAGATATTCTGAAATTTTTGATTTTTTTATTTAGTTTTCAACTGTAAATTCTTCTTCGAGCTGTTAGACTCTAATCTAAAATTTCTAGCATACAAATTGTACTTTTTTTGACACGCGGTTTAAAGCTTCAGC